TTAAAGTTGACCGGATTTTTCCGTGTCCATCTGATACAGTTGTTTGTCTAATAAAATTTATATTATTGATTTTAAAATTAGGTAATTTTAAAGGAAGGTTTCCTGTTTTGGCTGGTTTGTGAAATAGAATAAACTTAGTTTTGTTAACGTTAAGTGAAAGTTTATTACAAATAAACCATTCGTTTACTTTGTTTACTTCTTCAATAACTACTTTAAAGAGGAATTTAATATCCCTATGAGAATAAAACAGATTGGAGTCATCCGCAAACAAAATAAAATGTAATATGTTCGAGGTAAGAGATTTATATAAAGAGAAAACAGTAATGGTCCTAAGATTGAGCCTTGAGGAACTCCTCATTTTATTATGCTTTTTATCGTTTTAACATTTCCATATTGAATGTATTGCTGTCTGTTTGATAAGTATTCTTTAAACCAAGTAAATTATTGTTTTTTATTCCATAATGTTTAAGTTTTTTTAAAAGAATGACATGGTTGACTGTGTCAAAGGCTTTAAACAGATCAATAAAAACTCCTAATGTAAAACGGTTATCATTATTCTAAAGAATGACATGGTTGACTGTGTCAAAGGCTTTAAACAGATCAATAAAGACTCCTAATGTAAAACGGTTATCATTAAAGACATTGATTACACGAGTTACTAACTCGGTCAAAGCGTGATCAGTTGAATGGTTTTTTTAAAAGCCAAATTGCTTGTTGTACAACATGTTATTTACTGTTAAGTAGCTGTTTAGCCTATTATACATTATACGTTCGAGTGACTTAGAAAAGCATGGTAAAACTGATATTGGTCTGTATTTTGAAAAATCCGTGTCATCGCTAAATTTAAAAATAGGCAAGACACGTGAGGAAAACTTAAAAATAGGCAAGACACACAGCATTAACCAGTAACCAGTACAAATGTCTTCAATATTTTATTTATATTATATTTGCACTTATTTCATTAAATAAGTGCAAATATCTTCAATATTATCTTTGTTGGCAAACAAATGCTAAATCATGGTTGTATCTGTTATATTGGCTGGTCGATATTTACTCGCAATAAGACAACCGAAAAAATGCTAATATGATTAAAACGCTAAATTGTGTTTTTATTTGTTACATTAGCCGATAATGTTGGGTATTTGGTCCATGTCAAGAAGTTAGCTCAAACAAACACACACACACACACACATATATATGTATATATATATATATATATATATATATATATATATATGTATATATATATATATATATATATATATATATATATATATATATATTTTTTAAGTTGATTAAGGTGCCCCAAGGAGTCCTTACGGTCTTATCACAGAGCACCGCGGAAGAGCATTTAATGGGAAGTTCACGCCTCTTTCCCAACCGATGTCGCAAAACTTGCCCAGAGGTGGGGTTTGAACCAGGGATCTTACGTTTCTAAGGCAAGTGCGCTACCACTGCGCCACGGCTGCTCTAAATATATATATATATATATATATTTATATATATATAAATTTATATATATATATATATATATATATTTATATATATATATAAATATATATATATATATATATATATATATATATATATATATATATATATATATATATATATATATATATATATATATATATATATATATATATACTGGACATTTTGTAGATATGTATTAAGAGGGTCGCTTAGCTAACAGACAACCATGACATTTTTTTGTTTTTTAAATAACTTTGCATATAGTCAACTTATACCTTCTTTATTAGCCAGCCAACCTATAACCAACCTTAAGTTGTAACTTAAGGTCGGTTATAGGTTGACTGTCTAATAAAGTAGATATAAGTCTCTAGGTTCCCCCCCCCCCTCCATCCCGAGGAGGAGGGGGGGGAGCCTAGGTGGATGCCTAGCCACTCTACGAAATTTATAAGTCAGCAAATTGGGCACTGGAGTCGACGAAATTGAATATTTAGTTGGCAGTCGACAAATGTTGGCCAACGAGGACTTATTTTTTTTAAAGCTTAATAGGCTTCAATAAGTTTAAAGAATTTAAATCTTCAATAAGACAGTGTTTAATCTTCAATAAGACAGTGTCAATGTTTAGACTGTTATTAGGATGCTATAAGGTCTTATTACAGCACCACGGCTGCTTAACTCCATTTTTCAAACAACAAAATTTCAAATAAATTTCTTCAAACAACAAAATTTCAAATAAATTTATTCAAATGGGATTTTTGATTAACAATGCATAAAAATTAACATAACAATTTGAAATTCTTGAGAATTCGATTTCATCAGATGAGAGAACTCCGATAACAAACATTTCAAGCTCATTCAGAAATCGTCGCAAAACTCTGGGCTTCTTATAAATGATTTGTTATAAAATAACCTAACAGTTTAAGATACCTCAATAAATTTTTGAAATGATATTTTTACAAGCAGAACTTTAAAGCAGATATGTTATTATAATCATTTCTTAAAAAAACAAAACTTAATAAGACTTAATCCTAAAAATGCGTATGTAAGCAGTTCAACTAAGGAAACGTTTTTTTTTTGTTTTTCCCATAAATTTCATTTAAAGCTATAAAAATGTAAAAAAAAATATTTTGAAGATGATTTCTAACATATTCACATTTTTTAATTCATATTTTAATCAGATAAAATAAAAAAGACGTGTTAAAATTAGTAAACGACCGGGACTGGTATTTGACTGTGGGTAAGGCCAGTTGACGGACGGGATTGTATTAACATTATTGCATATTGACTTATTATTATATATCATATCAATATGCACCAATATTTATACAGCCCCAACCAAAAAACCCGGCTTTGACCCAGGTCAAATACCAGCAGTAGTTTTTTTTTATTTGAAGGTCCGTGTAACCAAGTTAACTTTAAAGACATTTTTGTTACTTAAAATGTAGGAAATAGTTTGGAAATAGGATTAAAAGTAGGATTACAATCCCTAATCCTTACTTTTCCTTTAGCTCTGTGCAGAAATGTGTGCAGAAAAAAGTTTGAAAAAAGTTTTTAAGGTCAAAAATGAATTAATCTTTTTATTTTATTAAAAAACAATACATTTGTAAAAAAATTAACTATAAAAAAATTTATAAACTATACAAACATGTAAATCTTTAAGTAAAAATATGTGAAATAAAGTTAGGAAAACTATTATTTTTTTTAAAAAATAAACTAAAATAATTACAACATTTTTATGTTACAGGAATATGAGCATATATATATATATACATATACATACATATATATATATATATATATATATATATATATATATATATATATATATATATATATATATATATATATATATATATATATATATATATATATATATATATATATATATATATACCATTATATATATATATATATATATATATATATATATATATATATATATATATATATATATATATATATATATATAATGGTGCATCCAAAAACAGCAATTTTCAAAAATTATCCTGCCTGAGCCTTAAATGGTGCTCCAAGATATTTGAACATTAAAAGGGTTTCTTATACATATGTAAAAAGGTTCTTCAAAAGTAGGTCAACCTGATACTCAAAAGAAGCAAAAATATAAAAAAATTTCGAAATAATTTCCAAAAATTTCAAAATATAAAAATAATAACTGTTTTGTATATAAAAATTTATTTTAAATATTATTTTGTAAAAATTATTGATTTTAAAAATAAAAAAGTGCATTTTTACAAGTTTGTTATTAATATTTTTTTTTCTTAATAGAGAAAAAAAAAATATTAATAACAAACTTGTAAAACTTTTCTCAATTTTTATACAACTCAGCTTTTTTTGAATACTAGGTTGACCTACTTCTAAAAAATTTTTTTTAATATTTGGTTTTCTGTAAATGTTTAAGGTTCTAATTTTTAAATCTAGTTTTATATTTAAATCAGATCTTTGTCACTTTTTTGATAAATAGTAATTTTAATAAAAAAGTTATCAACTCTGCATTTGAAAAACAAGTAAATACTTAAAAATGATTCAATATATATATATATATATATATATATATATATATATATATATATATATATATATATATATATATATATATATATATATATATATATATTTATATATATATATATATATATATATATATATATATATATATATATATATATATATATATATATATATATATATATATATATATATATGTATATGTATATGTATATGTATATGTATATATTAATATATATATATGTATATATATATATATATATATATATATGCAACATATATTTGAAAACTAATACATTAATACTTTTGTAATACTTAAATAAATATACACATTTATATCAGTTTATGAAACCTTTTTTATAAAACTATTAAAATCTGGATTAATGTACTAATAAACCTGTCATTGTTGACAGTGATAATAACTTTTTTCAAAATTGAGCATAAACATGTCAAATAATGTGCTCAATAAAAAAAATGAACAAATCACATAATACTCTAACTGATAATACTAAATAATCAACAGTAAGCACCATTAATAGTTTGATGATTTATACGTTGACTACACCATCATCAATTGATAAGTTAATTCACAAGTTGATTGTATAACAAACAGGTTGATAAAACAACTAAGGAAAAAAAGAATCATCAAAACCTTTCTAATAAATGGTTTAACATGTTTTATATGTAAACTTACTTGTAAACTTTATATTTATACCAAAACTTTGTGTGTGTGTGTGTGTGTGTGCGTGCGTGTGTATGTCTATCGGAGGGCCATGCCTAACATACTATTTTAGTTTCAAATGAACAAATTATTTTTGTTAATATTAGTCTGAGTGATCGTTATTTTTTTTGTTGATGTTTATGCACATTCTGTAAATGTTAAAACTTAAAATATCTCTAAAACAACTTTTAAATTAACAACATCTCCGTGAAAGCAAAATATTTCAATCAGACATCTCCAAAAAATTGAACAATTTATGCAACAAAAAATGAAAACAATTACATTTAAAATAGAGTGAAACTTGTTAGTAGCAACTTTATACAGTTTTTTTTTTCTGTGTGCTATTTTTCTATGAAATGAATTTATTTTTTCTACTCAGGTAAATGAGAAGTACTGTTAGTGTGTTTCCACATCCACTGGTGGCTTTGGTTATTTAAAAAACTGATGTTTCTTGTGTTATCTGTAAAAGTTATAACAACTTTAAAAAATTTTAATGACTTTGTTATAACTTACAACTATTTTAATGACCTTGTTATGACTTACAACTATTTTAATGACCTTGTTATGACTTACAACTATTTTAATGACTTTGTTATGACTTACAATTATTTTAATGACTTTGTTATGACTTAAAACTCATTAATACTTATTATGAGTAGCAGCATTATTAAAAAATGAAATAAAGTGACAGATAGAAAATCAAAAATAATGCTGGATTTAGAAATAAAGTTTTATACTCTGTTAAAAGCTATTGTGGAGAACTGCATTTATCATACCACCACACTACTGTATTATACCCACCATACATTATCTAATCAGGGATGCAGAATCCCAAAAAAGTCTCCAGTTTTAAAAGTCACAAAATGATTATTTCTTGCTGGTTTTTGGAAACTACGAGCTCAAAAATCTCACGAACTTCTTTTTTTGTTGCAGATTATGTAATAAAAATTGATTAAGTCACTTAACACTTTTAAAGCTCTTGGACACCAGAAATCAGAAAAAATAGAGATTTAAAGCCAAAGCCCTTTTAGAGAATTCACATCCTTCACATCCATCTTTTTGGGACTCCACATCCCTGCACCTAATTGCCAAAATAAAGTGATTAGATAAATTGCACATAAATATTTTTTTAATTTGTAGTAAAAAAGTATAAAACTTATTACTACAAAGAATTCAAAAGTAATGATGTTTATGTTTGAGAACAAAAAACATGCATACCATTTTAAAAATATTATAAATGGCATAATTCCAAAGCATGCTGAAGGTTGATCAGATCTGTATGGTTGCTTATGCGCCAAAAGGGAAATCCTAACTTTTAAAATCAAATATATAAAGAATTAAAAAATATTTATATTTTAATAACCAATAATAAACAATAATATAATAATAGTTAAAAACAATAACTATTGAAAAGAATTTAACTAAATATCTTATTTAACTAAATATCTTATTAACAATTTTTGTTTTTTTAAACTTTAGTATCGAGGAGGGCATCTAAAAAATATCTACCACCATCATCTTTAATTTTTAATGTGCTCTCTCAACTCTAAGTTAAGTAATTAAAAAATAATTTAAATTTTTTACCCTAAATATTTGAAAAGTTTTAAAATATTAAACATAATTTTAATTTATTCTAACAGCATTTAAATTTAATAACATTTCCATTGCGCTATTGATTTCACACTACTAGCATTCATATTTTAAACATTCATAGTAGTTTTAAACTCTATTCTTTGTTATTTTATAACTTTCATTGTAGTTGACTAAATTGACTTTTAGTCAACTTATTCAATTACAAAAATGTATTACCTCAGTTACCTCGGTTTCTCTATTTTTACCTCGGTTAGTCGTATTTAGTTGACTTTAGTTGATTTAGTCAAAAGTTGAATTATTTAATAGTTGTAACAAAAATACTATTTACTCATATTAGTGATATAATAAACTGAGAATAATGTAAAAATATTTTTTGTTTGAAAAGTTCGGAAAATAATAAAAAACACTTAAAACTGTTTTATATTTTGAAAATATAAAACAGAAACAGCTGTTTTTTGAAAAGTATTGCTTTAGAAAAACCCTTGTCATATAGTTTATTAATTTTTTTTAATACTTTATATCAAAAAATAAAACTATGTATTATTATAACATAACATAATATAATATATATATATATACATATATATATATATATATATATATATATTATATATATATATATATATATATATATATATATATATATATATATATATATATATATATATATATATATATATATATATATATATATATATATATATATATTAGGGTAGATCATAAATTTTTTTTTTCTTGTTACAGGCTCTAAACATTGCTAATAGTTATTAATATTGATACTATCAAATATGAGAATGATTGTGATAGATTTAAAGGGCGCAACTTTATTGGAAAAATTACCGGTACCCTAATATTTTGGAGAAAAAAAGTTTTTCAAAAGTAGTTCAACCTGGTACTCAAAATAAGCGAAATTTTATAAAAAATTCGAAAATAATAATGGTTTTATAAAAATCATATTGCCGAAAAAAATTGTTATTAAAAAACATGTAAAAATGCATCTTTTTTACTTTTAGTTAAAAAACTATAGTTATTATGCAATAAAATCTAAAATATTAATTTTTATATGAAAAAATTATTATTTTTAAAATTTTTATAAAATTTCGCTTTATTTGAGTACCTACATCACATAATTTTGAAAAACTTTTTTTTTTGAATAATAATAGGGCCTGATAATTTTTGTAATTATAGTTGCGGGTGGAAGACATTGTTCAATCCATAAAAGTAAATACTTTCCTAAATTAGTACATAAAAAAACAACTTTCTAGACCATAGCTAGGTTAGCAATTCTAAAAAAAATTTTATGACCCACCCTAATATATATATAACAAATATATTTTTATAAATGTTTACAAAAAACTACAACAAAAGTCATAGTTATTAAATCATAATTTAAAATAATCTTTTTAAATCAAAAGTTACTGATATTTATAAGTATACCATTATTAATGTTATATATATTTTGGAGTTTTTTTTTTTTTTTTAATTTTATAATTTACCAATTTTAAAATTTTTTTTGAGAGCCTGATTTCCCATATTATAAATGTTAAAAAATTTTATGTAACTAATTTACTACTAATGAAAATTAAAAGTATATTTTTTTAGTAACAACTTCCAAGTTCTTAAATGGTTTTAAGACCCCCAAGAACCTTAATCGGACTTGGCTTTTCCAAAAATATTTTGATCTTTTGTTTTTTGTATAGATTCAAAAAAATCACTTTTCTAAACCTACAGTATAAATACTCTTATGTTCAAAAGAGTGCTACAACATTTTTCAAAAGAGTGCTACAACCTGTTTTGGTCTTTGGTTTTTTCGGTTCACATTGTAGAGTAGAAATTTTATAAGCAAAAGATTTTTTAATCAAAAAACAAAAAAAAAACTTAAAAAACTTTATTCCAAAAAAATTTAAAAATTTTTATTACAAAAAAACTAAAAATTTTATTCCAAAAAAATTATAAATTTTTTATTCTAAAAAAATGGGAGCCATTGCAACTGAGGTAATAGCAAGAAAATTTTCAGTACTTTTTTTTATAAGAAAAGTCAATGAAAGTGTATACAAAATATCTAATTTGCGTAACCTTCAAATTATGTAGTGCTAAAACATACTAAAACATATATCAAGTTTTAAAGTTTTACTTTCACTTAAAAATTGCACTGCAGCAACTATCTCTTTAAGATCTTTGATCTGTAGCACTTATTTCCGTTTTATAAAGTCTTTTACTAATCATATAGTTTTAAAACTTTCGTTAGGCACTATGCCTGCATAGCCGAGTAATTAGCACGCTGGGTTTCTTATGCAGAAAGCTGTGATTCCATTCCTACTGGCATTTTTTTTTTTTTTCATTTAAAATTTTTCGATTTTTCTAAAACACAAAATAAAACACTTATTTACAAAAAAAAAAATTAACAGTAGTTAATATTTTTTTGTAAATAAAACTTTTTTTTAAAAATTGTTTTGTTATTATGTATAAATAAATTGATTTCCAGTTAATACATGTGGTGTATTTTTTCCTTTTTTTGATTCAATTAATTTTTTTAGATTAATCAGATGATGTGTTTGTTCAGTATAGCCAAACAATTGAAAACTATTGAAAACTGTTATGTTTTGTAAATTTGTTAATAAATGTGTGAATAAAAATATCTTTTATTTTACAAAGCTATTAGACATTTTATTGAAATTACAATTCATAATGATTTGTATTTAATTTAATCTCTGTAAATGAAAGTCCATGCTAATATCTAACTTCAAGTTATGTAAATTATATCAAATTTTACAGATATACTTTTACTTGAAAATTTCATTGCGGCAATATCTACTTAATTTTGATTTATTGCATTTATGCCGTTTTATAAAGTTTCATAAGTCTTTAGTTTATTAAACAGTTTGAAGTGCTTTCTGTGGGCTCAAATCCTTTTGCTTACACACTTAAAATTTTTTAATCTTTCCTAATTTTCTAGAATACAAAGTTAAACATTTTTAAACACTTATGGATATTATATGCATAACATATATATAGATATTACATACTATAACAATCATTATTAATGTGCTTAGGTAATTAGTTAAGCCTGCACATTTAACACACATTAAAGAGACAACTTTCTTTCTTCTAGAAAAAAATTTTCACATGTAACTTTAACTTTCTTCAAAATTAATGAGGCAAGAGTCCTAATGAGGTCCCTTTGTTTTTTTTTTTCTTTCTATTTTTTAATGAAGTTATAAAGTATTGAACATAAATCGTTAACTAAAAATAAAGATTTTTATATTTTGCTCTTTTATAAAATTTATTGAAATTATTAAAATGATCAGAGTGGAACAGACTTACCATGACCAGTATATGGTCAGACTTACCATGACCAGTATATGGTCAGACTTACCATGACCAGTATATGGTCAGACTTACCATGACCAGTATATGGTCAGACTTACCATGACCAGTATATGGTCAGACTTACCATGACCAGTTTATGGTCAGACTTACAATGACCAGTATATGGTCAGACTTACCATGACCAGTATATGGTCAGACTTACCATGACCAGTATATGGTCAGACTTACCATGACCAGTATATGGGTCATGGTAAGTCTGTTATTCCATATATTTAAGTCATCTCAAACTGATGATAATTAATTAAGACATTTCAAGCAGGTATTTTAAATATTATTTAGACAACTACTAATATCCAATCCGTTGAAAAATCGCCATTTGCGCAACGGTTACCGAAACGTTTTCATATAAAACTAAAGCTTTAAAAAGTAAACAATAAGTTTTTCTATATGTATATATAGTTGTTTTTCTGCCGCCTACTAAAACTTTAAAAAGTAAACAATAAGTTTTTCTATATGTATATAGTTGTTTTTCTGCCGCCTACTAAAGCTTTAAAAAGTAAACAATAAGTTTTTCTATATGTATATAGTTGTTTTTCTGCCCATTACTAAAACTTTAAAAAGTAAACAATAAGTTTTTCTATATGTATATAGTTGTTTTTCTGCCGCCTATTAAAGCTTTAAAAAGTAAACAATAACTTTTTCTACATGTATATAGTTGTTTTTCTGCCGCCTACTAAAAAATATTGAAGTAAGGAATAAGTATAGAAAAATTTGGTGTCGAATAGATTTACCCAAAACCCAAATTTTATGGGTCTGGACAGCTAGTAATATAAATATTACAGATGAATATTTTTGAAATAAAAAGTATAAACAATAAAAAATACCTGTTTACTTGCAATTTCTTCATCTCTTCCACTGCCTATAACAACATAAGTGCATTTAGTTCCAAATCTAGTTTGAATACGTTGAAAGCAAGACTCTTTGCCTAAAAAAATTTAAAAACTTTTTCAGCTCAATCAGGTGACTTTTACATCTTCTTGCAGCACTAAGTTTTTATAAAATATATATAGCATGAAAAAAACTCATTACCACAGAAATGTGTCTATTTTTTTACAAATACTCTATAACTTTTCATAGTTATATGAATAAAAAAAAAATTTTAACAATTTTTCAGTAATTTTTCCTAATAGAACTTTATATCTTGCAAATTTTATCAGACCTATTTGCTCTTCGTAAGACATATTTAAATTTGACTGTTTCATCTTGAGTTCTCAGTGTTGATGGCTTTTATACTTTAATTTGTAAAGACTAAAACAACACATGTGTGCTTTAGCACATTATAGTGAAAACAAACAGTCACATGCATTGCTTTAGCATATTATAGTTGAAATAAATATGTGAATCTCAAAATGAATTTCAATTCACTTATTTGTTGTGAAATCAAGTTTAAATCCTTTGATGATTTTTTTATATACTTTTGCTTAGTACCAACTTTTCCAATTTATTCTTTATCAACCTCCTTCCTCCCAAAACTGCATTGTTTTTACTGTTATTTCTGATCAAACTGACCTAGCGCCTTTCTTTTTATTTAACAATTTCCAATTGTTATCATTTTATTCATTTATTCACCAGAACAACTCCCTTAAGAACAGGAATTGTTTTATGATTGCAAGAAACTAAAGTAAAAAAGTATTACCACTAAACTCCATTATTTTCAGACCAATAAATCTCATATTTTATCTCAAAGTTAGGTTCTTTATATCATTCATAAATTAGTCTGATCTTATTACCTCTCCCAATAATAAAGAGGAACTATTTGCAAAATCCTCTAATTGATCTTATGAACCTAATGATCGTATTCTTCTGAAAATTCCAGAAAAACAGGTCGCTTTTTTTTTTACTGCTGATTCCATTCTCTAATTTTATAAATCTTTTATCAGTACTTGTATAACAATTCTTATCAGTACTTGTATGAAAATCTCGAATCAGTACTTGTATAACTAATAATGCACTTTTTCTTTCAGACAGGGTCCAAAATGTGGTTGGACCTGTCCTCACTACCAAGTATAGTTTCTTTTTCTTTTTAAAAATACTATCATGGTTGTCATGGTTAAGCAAACTTTAAGTTCTTGTTTCATTGACCAAAAAACAATTTTGTGTTACACTTAGCAAAGTTGCACCTTTTTACTGTTTATTCATGCTTCCATCTAGTTTATTTCGTCAAATAACAGTGCTTCAGAATTCTCTCCCCTGTCTTCATGCTTTCCTGAATAATACAATTTACACTTATTTAAGACTTCTGTCAATAACTTTCTTACTTTTTATTTCTTTAAATTTTAATAAGTGTCAGTTTAAACAGTGGTTTAACTCTCCTAGTTTAAACAGTGGTTGCTTGCATACATTTTAATCACTACCTGCTTCAACTCCATGCAACCAATATTGATTGATTGCATACTTGTTAAAGGAAAATTTTTAATAAAAAACAAAAATAGATTTAAAAGATGTTTAAAATATGTTAAACTTCATTTTATATGTTATGTATTTAGTATGTAGTTATAAAATATATTTATAGAAACATAACTATATCTTATATATAAAATCTTGAAGAATTGCAAATTATGCAATAACTATTATCATTTAAAAAAAAATGTTGAATGAAATTAAAAAAAAATGTTTAAGAAATTAAATATATTTTACATATATTTATATATATAATATTATAAACTTTTTCTATATTTGTAACAAGTAATAAGTAGAATTAAAAATTAATAGCCTCAACTGTACATGTCAAAGTTAAATATATTTGAATATATATATATATATATATATATATATATATATATATATATATATATATATATATATATATATATATACATATATATATATATATATATATATATATATATATATATATATATATATATATATATATATATATATATATATATATATATATATATGTATATATATATATATATATATATATATATATATATATATATATATATATCTGTTATTTCAGGTAAAAGAATATCATCATACCTGCTTTACTGGCGGAGTAGACATTTTCAATTGGAAAGAAATTTGCTAGCTTAAACAGAAGGCATTTAGAAATACTTTGAACAAGATGGGTTTTAGTAACCAGAACATTTACACAATTTGGTCTAAATAAAAGTACAAAAAATTAAAAAAAAACATTTGAAATTTTTGTATATATATATATATATATATATGTATATATATATATATATATATATATATATATATATATATATATATATATATATATATATATATATATATATATATATATATATATATATATATATATATATTAAAATTTGACTTCAGATTTTAACATATCAAAGTTATGCAATTTATAGATACACTCTGCATGCAAAGCTACAAAATTATATAAAATTATGAAACCCACACTTTTAGGCAATTTGAAAAATCATGAAAGGGAAAATCATGGAAAATCAAAATTGCTGAAGTTAAAGTAAAAACCTACAGAATGGCTTATACAATGTGCTTCAAAGGATTTTCATGCACATCAAAATTTTGGTCAGACTTTGCTACTTAAGTCAGAATTAAAACTAACATTCAAAAATTAAATTCCAGTAAATACACAACTTATCAAAATGTCAAGCAACATAGAAACAAACTTTTAAAACCCAAGAGCAGTAAATTAAGCCACACCAAGAGTTTCTGAGCAGGAAACTCAGGAGTTTTTTGATAATGCTGTATCATCAAACTGTATCATCAGTTGTAACAAATTGTAGAGGTCATGGATTGTAAAGAAAGAAACCAAAAACATGTAGACATCAAAAAAAAAAAAAAAAAAAAAAAAAGAAAATCCCAAATCAACAACCTAAGAATTTAAAAAGAGATAAAGCTACAAAACATACAAAAAGTAGAAATTCCCAAGAAGATCTTAACCAGAATTCAATGAAGGCAAAAAACATGGTTAAAAACTAGTTCTCTACTTTACATTGCAACACTGAGTTCTCTACTTTAGGTACTTTTTCGATCATCTTTCCCTACTGACATCTTATAAAAACCCTTAAATATGTTGCAAAGTATTAAACATGTTGCAAAGTATTCAAAATGTTGCAAAGTATTCAATATGTTGCAAAGTATTCAATATGTTGCAAAGTATTCAAAATGTTGCAAAGTATTCAATATGTTGCAAAGTATTCAATATGTTGCAAAGTATTCAATATGTTGCAAAATTGATATCTGCTGAAGTTGCTGCTCAATATCATGCTCAATATTTTCTTACATATATCTATTTCCATTCTCTATCTCTATAAATTCATCCTTTTATGGAATAATGTTGCCACAATTGGGCTGGTTCTTCTAATGATACCTAATTACTTTCAGATAAGGCCTGAAAATGTATTGTAAATGTAGTTGGACGTGTTCTAGATGCCATGCTTGAACTACTGTCCTATTATTATTATGGTTGCATCTGATTCTGTTTCCTATAAATACTACCACAGGCTCTTTTTTTCACTCAAATGTATTTCAATTGTTACTTTAATAGTGGTGCAATGGTATAACTTCTTCTTCACTTTCCTTCTTGTAGGAAAGAAGAATTATGTGACCTCGTTTCCTTTATTAGGCCTGAGCTATTAGGCCTGAGCTATTAGAGATTTTTCATTAAAATAAGTTTATCAAATTAAAAAACAATTCCTTAATTTAAAACCAATAGGTGAAAATATTCCTTTAATTCAAAAAAAAAATAAAAATAATAATAATAATAATAATAATAACTATGCATATATTCAACATAAATATGGTTAGAATCTGAAATGTTATTATCAAAAATTATCATCTTGTTTATCTATTTACATATTTCCTTGGCTCAAATTTTTTGAAAGGAACAAAATTTCTAAAATCAGCATGTTAGTGTTTTCTACATTCAAATTTATGATGCCATCCAAAAGAAGATGTTATTAATTAGACTTAAAATGAAAAAAATGGTGTATTTATTTTACTTTTTTTAAAAAAAAACTTTTCCTCATCTAACAAAGATTTGACATTCATTAACATTAACAGGGCTTGTAGTGCTTTTTTTCATTGATTTTTTTAGCCCATTAAACAATGTTTACATAATTATATTAGCAGATATATTTTCTTATATATTATTAAATAACATGATGGATGCCAGTGATACCAGAAAAAAATACAACATGTGTAGATTAATAATAGTTTATAATAGTCTAAATATTATAAAGAATATTAAAATAAATATTATAAAGACAAAATATTAAATATTATAAAGAATATTACATGTGATAAATATTATAAAAAATAATATCTGCCATAAATATTATAAAGAATATTACCTGCGATAAATGATATTAAGAGACTTATATGCTAATGTATGCCAGGAGTCAGTAATTTGCTCTAGTTCTATTATTAATGGTACCCATTGATCTCTTTTATTCAAACTTATTATTTCTATAAAGAAAATAAAACAGAATAAAAATTTTAAATTCTAAATTTACTCAAAATATAAAACAAAGAATTATGAAAAATTAATTTAATTTTCACTGAATAAAAAATCTTATTATCACACAATAATAAAGTACACAAAGCACACAAACAAAAAGTACAAAAAGCACACATAATATGCATAACAAGTATACACAAAAGTACATAATATGCATAAAAGTACAAAAAATAATTTTCAGGCGTTGCTCTACAGTTTTAGGGACTAATCGCAAACTGAACAATTTTTATTTATTTTTCAACATTTTCACTTCCAACAAAGCTGCAAACAGCCACTATTAAAGTTAAAAGTTACCGAAAAAGAAAAGATGAAGTTTGTAAAGAAAGATAACAATTAACAGACATCTTAAAAGATTGCAAAAGAAATGAATCGGAAAAATAAGATAAAGGGCGCAAATTTTAAAGAACCAATGCTTGAGGAAAAAACTACTGGAATAAGAATTTTCGGAGCACTTAGGAACAGTCAAACGATGAGACTTAACTGAATGACGAGTAACACAAGAATGAATTTTAGAAGATAGCGCAAGAGACGCTAGCTCTTTAGAGCAGCGCCCATTATATAGAAAATGTATTTATAAAAAAGAGAAAGAGAAGCAACATTACAATGATGTGACAATGCTTGTAAGTTGGCTGCATATGCAGGTCTAACTAATTTTACAACCTTGTCTAAAAGAAAAAGGGCATCATTAGAAGATCTGCTCCAGATATAGCAACATTATTCTATACAAATATGGACTTGAGGTTTATAGAGATAATGAATAGAATCCAGCATAAGAATGTGGCAAGCACAATAAAGAGAGGCAATCTTAGCAGATGCTAATTTTGAACTTGATATATGGGTTCTAAGAGAGATTGAAAGTAAGAGTTAATCCTAGAAGATGAAAGATAAATGACTCATTGAGTATATTATTGTTTATAAATATAGGAAGATCTAGATTGTTGGGATAATGAGTTTTGTTTGATTTAAAGTTCACCAGCCACTGAGAACCCCATGCTGTAACATGTGAGATCTTTTTCAATCTGAAATGCCCCCTCTAAGTAATCAGATAGTGTTGGCTTCTTATCGAGACAAGAATAATGGAAGTATCATCAGTGAACAATGCCACCGTAGATGTGAGAATTTCAGGGAGATCGTTAATGTAAATTAACGATCTCCCTGAATAATTAACCCCTGAAGTTACAGGATATAAATGGAATGCCAAGCTTTATCGAAGGCTTTACAAATGTCAAGCACAATAGCCTTAGCCTTTCCACAACTATCTAACACACAATAAAACCTATCAATTATTACTGTTAACAAATCAGCAGTAGAACAAAAAGTTCAAAATCCATATTGATGATCAAAAAGTAATTTATTAGATTCAAGATGAGAGATTAAGTATTCGTTAATAAAAGTCTAAAAAACCATACTTATGATAGGAAGAAGACTAATGGGATGGTAGTTTGATGAGTTAGATCTTTCTCCAGAGTTTTTGAAATTAGGGATAACAGATGCCACTTTTTAGCAGGCTGGTAAACAAGACTCTGATAAGCACTTGTTAAACAGTTTTGAAAATATAGCTCTGGAGAACACTTCTGTAAGACTATAACAGGTATGTTGGATTAATACAAATGTCAAGCAAATGATCAACCTGTTTTTCAGCTATATCAAGTAGGAAGGTATATCAAGAGGTAGGAAGGTTTATCAAGGTAGGGAGGAAGGTTTATCAAGAGATGAGATTGGTAGGAAGACAGGTAGGAAAACAGACAGACAGACAGGAAGACAAGACAGGTAAGAAGGTTTATCAAGAGATGAGATTGATGAAAAGTTGTTAGCAAATATGTTGAATACTAAGGATTTACAGTTGTAAAATTAAAATAAAAAAACTTCAATTCAGAACTAAAAACTACTTAAAACAACGATAGTTAAATATGAGATTTACTCCATGGATCAACCTTCACATTTAAGTCCACAATAGTTAAATATGAGAGTTACTCCATGGTTCAACCTTCACACTTAAACAAGGGACTAATGTATTTTGAAAAACTGTATACTTTCTATGATTGTGAAAAACATTTTATAACACTTGTTATGATCTATATAAAATTAAGGTAGAGATAAAAATAATAAAAGTGGGGATAAAAATGATGGAGATCCGAGGTAGAAATAGTATCATTAAATTAAAAAACTTGTTGCATTCATTAAAAAATATTGATCCAAAGCAAAATAATTCTTTAATTTGATTTGGAAGTTAAATTTTGCTCTCTTTTATATTGTGCAAGTACTTTATCATCTATTCATTTTGTATTGCATGTATTTTTCATTAATATATTACTACCATTGGCATATAATTATACCTCAACTACAAACTAATACAACTTAAAAAATCTATCTGTTAATAAAAAAAAAGTAATTATAATTTAATGCAAAATGTAGAAGATCTAAAATATAGTACGATTTAACAAAAAATTAAACCTTCTATGTTATTGCGATAACTGTCATATATTTCTCTAATTCGTCTGTATCGATATGCCAATTTCCTCATCCAGTCAAGACCTCTCCTTCCATTTGTTGAAAACTGCATTGCATTATTTGAAGTGTTATTATTAAAACCGTCTGTCTCAAAACTGTAATCACTGTGTGAAAACAAGCTTATTACATTTTCGTACAATAAAATATTACAACATATACTACATTCAATGCATAAACTTTAATGTTTAATATTAAACAATTGAATATTTATCAAAGAATACAATAATTTTATAAAAAATTGGGTCTGAAAACCTTATATCTTGTCCATTATCATCAACAGAGGCATCATCAATATGACTTTGGTCATACTCCTAAAAAACTTGAAATATTTGATCATACTCTTAAATAAACTTGTCAAAACTTAAAATGAACAGGTATTAAGATGACACAACTCAACTTTAAGTAAAATGAACAGGTATAATCATGACATAACCTAACTATAAGTAAAATAAACAGGTATAAACATGACACAAATTAACTTTAGGCAAAAAGAACAGGTATCAAAATAACATGACCTTAGGTGAAAGGTCATTAAGAAAAAGACATATAGCAAATAAATTACCTCTAAATCATTATAAAACAAAAAAGTGACACAAAGGTCATATATGTATTCTTCTATACGTAGTCCTAAAGAAGCTGTAGATGAACTATCCTATAAACAAAAATTTTTAAAAGGTATAAAACTTTTTAAAAAACAATATAAAAATGGATTATATAACTGGAATTTAAATATCGTTTTTGCACTGTTTATAACTTGCCTTTCCAAACCTTGTAGAATATTCACCAGTCACAAGAGAATGAAGAGCAATAATAACATCATCTAAGTCCCAAATGAAAACCCTCTAAAATAATTAAATGAAAACCCTCTAAAATAATTAAATGAAAACCCTCTAAAATAATTAAATGAAAACCTTCTAAAATAATCATAAAACATTGTAAAGTATTCTAAATATAGAGTTAATGTCACACAAAAGAAGAAAAAGACAAAAAGGTTAGCCACAGCATTTTTTTTTTTTTTTACATTTTTGGCAACTTTTGAACAAAATATATTTAAAACTTTCATTCATTCATAAAATTAGTTATTAAAATAATTTTTTAAATTAACTAATTAATTTATTGCACAGTTAAATAAATTTTTATAGCAAATATAATTTAACAACTTAATAATTAATTTTAAAACCTTAATATTATGATTGAGCTCATTATTTAAATTTTTTTTCGATTTGAGACTTTTCTTTACGCTTATCTGTTTACTTTTTTTTCTTGATGGTTTTGCATTGTTATACTCTGTTGATGATTGGTTTAAATCACAGTAAATGCCATTATAAGAACTGCTCTAAAAGTAAACTAGCAAATTATGATGTTTGTTTAAAAAAAGTAAACTAGCAAATTATGATGTTTGTTTAAAAAAAGTAAACTAGCAAATTATGATGTTTGTTTAAAAAAACAAACCAAAGTAAGAATAATCAGATTATCTTACCTCAAATTGCATGCGCGATTCAAAATCATGTTGAGAATGAACATTGTTTACACAAGGCATTGTAGGCGAGAAAGACGAGTCTACAAAGTAAATCAAAAATGAACTATTTTCTTTTTTCATTAAATGTTTCATTTTTTTAAATTTATTCTTTTAACAGCAACAAATTAGGTGAAAAAATAAGATTATTAAAACGAATTTTCTAATTCATAAAAAAAAATTACTTTATTGTTAAAACATATTATTAGTTGTAGTTACTGTTTTCAAAAAGAGTCTGGTACAAAATAAAAAGCTAATGACCTGTCACTTCTGTTGCTCCAGTACTCTGCATAGTGTTGCTTTCTCCAGACATCATAGTATCAATTTTATAAGCTGAATTAGGAATCACCTGATTAAGTGAACTTTCGAGTACATTTGGAATTGTATTTGGTGAAAAAATATTACTGTTTATAAATGGTGGATAGATGTGAGTAGAACCCTGAGTGTATGGATAAGACGCAAGTTTATTAGCACCTATACCACTAAAAAAATTACTGGTATACATAAAGTTGTTATTCAAAGTGTCAGCAACACCAAGCTTGGAGTTAAAACAGTTTTGAGCATTCATAGATGAAGAATAACTATTAGTTCCTAATGTTGTAAATCCACTTGACATAATTGAAGGAAAATAGGAAGGTGGAAACTGTTGAAAAGCAGAAGTTGACTTTGAACTAATTAAATTTGGTATAGAACTATAGTTAGATGGTAATATTGAGGAAGCAGCAAATGGATAATTTGATGTTGAAACTGCATGTTTGTTAGGTAACAAACTTGTAGGAAAGTCAGGTAAAGAAAAGAACTTTGAAAACATAAAATTATTGTTATTATTGTTTTCAATGAACTTGTTATTACTTGTCTCCATAAATGGTCTTGAAGTAGAAAAATTCTGAAGAACACTTGTTGCGCTATTGTACTGCTTAGTCAAACTAGAGCAACCTTCAAATTGTTCAAATTGAAATCCTTCATGCGCAATACTGGCTAAAAATGGAAGGGACAACGCATTACTTGTTATTGAAGTATTGTTTGCAACAGAAGTTATTTCAGACTTTAATGCTTCTCTATATCCAAAATAGTTATCTATGCTATTATCTGACGCTCTAGGTGATTTATTTTTTTCTCTGCTCCTGAAATCAAAATGAAAAGCATGTTCCAAAGAAGAAAATTACACGCATTACCAATGTTGTCATTTTTTAAATATTTATGCCAGAGTTACTTACTTTACAGGATCTATTGACAAGACCTCATTTCCTTCAAATTTGACCTGCTTTGCCTAAAATAAGATAATACTTTGTAAGCATGTAAAAAAAACACAATACAATTGTTATGATAAAATTGTTGTATTTATATTTATTCAGTTTTTCCTTAAGAAGTTTAAAAAAATTATTTTAAACTGGTAGATGTGTTGATATATAAACACTTTACTAAGTGTATTTTACAATCAATTTGTTAGAAGTAAAAAAATAAAAACAAAGATATAAAGAAAATTAAAAAAAATAGTTTATATAAAAAAGACTATATATTAAAAAATATAAATGATTTGTCATTAGAATTCTTATTTTTATAGTTTTTTAAAAAAATAATAAAACTAAATGTAAATCTGCAATTGATGTAATGGTTTTACCATGACATTGTTAAAGTAGCAAAGATCTTTTTTTTTTGTCATAAAAGTCTACTTATGTATGAAAAATTTCAGTTATTGATTACAATTTAAACCACCAAGATTTTTTTTTCAAATTCATTTCCAAGCTCCTAGCAACCACAAATTAAGTAAATAAGTGAGTTAAAGAGCAAGGAAGAAAAAGACTTAAAAAACTGTGGAAAATATAAATTAGAAAAATATGGAAACAGTTGAAATTTTTAAGGCACTGGTGTTAAAAAAAACAACTAGATTAATTAGAATTTTTTAAGCATTAAGGAACAAATCCAGCAACCATAGTAGTGTTTGTAGAAAACATAACCTTAAAACAATAGGATCAAGTTTGGCAATTAAACATAAAGCTGGTCCAACTATGTTCACAAAGCATTATTGGATCAGAGAAAGTTAACAGAGAAAGTTAACCAGAGATTTAAAATAGTGGGTTCAACCAGAGATTTAAAATCTTCAGCTAATTTAAGATCTAAAGAAGGGGATTCAGATAATCAAAGATGTTAAGTAGAGGATTTAGTATTCAAGTATTGAACATATTTGTAATAATGGTTAGCAAGAAACAATTTTTAGTTAAAAAATAATCTCAAAAGAAAGATAAAATTCAAGATTCAACTCAAGATTCAAAACAACCTTTTCTATGTGATAAAAAACTGGTAACTTTTTACAAAAACTTATGTATAAAGTTTTTTGCCTCAATTGCTTCATGAATTCATTCTTATACATGATACAAACTTTTCAATATTATGATTAACTTCACCAATTCATTCTAATGATATAACCATTACAAAGGTTACCATTATTATGGTTAACTCATCATTAGTAGAACAAAGACAATTTAAATCCATATTGTCAAAGATTAAGTCATTGGACATAAAGTGAGTTTTAGAAGTTAAGAATAGTTTGTTAATTAAAGACTTAAAGTTCTTACTAAAAATAGTTAGAAGACAATAGATTGGAATTCAGAGATTTTAACTTAGTTTAAAATTTAAGTATAAATGTTGAATTTAACTAAAATTTAAATTCAATTAAACAAAGAGATAAGAGCAATCTCCAGAATTTCAAAATAAGAAGCCATTTCAGTGCACAAGACTCAGATAGTTCAATTTAAAATTTAAACATAATAATTACAATAAAAATACAGTAACTTAATATTGACCACAAGCTGTAGAAGAATTATAATGACAAATAACTAGAGCAATCGAAGCTAAAGTGATCAGAATATCTAACAATGAATCATTCTGTTTTTCTGAGATGTACTATTAAAGATTTTCTCTAGAAGCTTGATGGATATGGTGGGGATTAAACTTGGAACTTTTCAATTGAGAGGCAAGTGCTCCACTATCACAACACTACCACATAAGAGAGAACAAGGAGAAACAAATCAATAAAGAACAAGGAGAAACCAACCAATAAAGAACAAGGAGAAACCAACCACAAGCTAGGGTCAGAGACAGGCACAAATCAAGAAAAAAAAGCTATTTGAGTTGTTTAAAAAAAAGACGCAAAGTATATATTCAATAATAAGAGAATAAAAAAGACATAAATTTTGAGCCAAGCAATTCAGTGTGATGAGCATTAAAGCCACCATGAAAAAGATTATTGATATAATAATCAAGAGCTCAATCAAAAATAGCATCAAAAGAGTGCAGTCTTGGGAAGTAGGAGAAAGATATTGAAAAAAAAGTTATTGAGTAGTGGCACTAAACTAAAGCACATGCAACAGTTAGAGGATTCGAACCGAATTACACAACAAAAAGATGAATTGATATGTAGTTATATGCCCAGACATGTATCTAAACAATTTAGTCGAGAAAATAGTTTTTGATGTTCAAAATGATGTTCCAAAAAATTGGGACTCTTTTCACCTTTTATCAAATATCTACAAGGTTATTAATTATTATCCATTCAAATTTGAAATAAATTTACCTTAAGATATGAAGTTTATGATTAGTATTTTAAAAAATACTATTGTTTTATACCACATGATATTTTAAAATTTTAAGAATGTGTAAAATCACATTATAAGTAACTTTACACAAATCGCTAAACTCATATTTGTGTATAGTAAAAGCTCTGTTCAGAAATCTTTACGCAGTTTTTTTGTAATTAAACAAAAAACTCAAGAAATACAAAATAACTAGGTATCTGCTACAGTCTAGAGAGAACCAAAAGTAAGTTTACATCATCTTCCAATAGCTGGTGCTTGCAAAAACAACTCAATAGAACAAAAGTCAGTGTCACAAAAACCATCTTCTTAGGGCAAAATATGTTTTACCAATAGAAATTTTCAAAAGAAAAATCACACCAATTTTCGACACCTTAGAGTGCCAAAACTGTTCATTTATAGCATTTTTTCAGTGAATCTTACAGATACCCAGTTACCAACTTTGACAGATCTTTTCTTTTAGATACAGCACTTTGACATATTTGACCTGTCTCTGATTGTCTCCTATAAGGACTTCAAGTCTATTAATGGTACAATAACAGGTTAAAATAATTGTTAACAATCAGACTTGGAAGAGTTATTTATAATCGTTATTGTTCATAAACTAATTTTCACCTTGTGGTGCAACAATGCATTATAAGTTCCATATATGTCAAGCCTTGAACATTATGTATGGAGCTAGTACCTTTCCTGAAACAACTCCTGTAGACATAACAGATGTTAAGCTTTTAGTTTGGTTTTTTGTTATCCTCTCAGGACATTTATTTCCTTTTTCGAAAACCAATTTTACTCTTCCAGAATATTAGTTTTATCATAGTTAATAATATTGGTGTCTGGAATATCAACCATGCAGTTAAACTATCAAAATACCTGTTAATTTTAATAGCATTTGTCTGAGTACAAAATTTTTTAATGTTTTGTGCTTGCCTCAGTGACAGTTGTTCTATGGGTTTTTGAAAAAACTAAAAACTCATTCTGTCTCTGACAGAGACAGAATGGGTTATTAGTTTTTGTTTATTTAGTATTTTCTTTAACGAAAACACGAAATAAACATAGACAATAATAACATAAACAATAAAAATAAACAATACAAAATCTCTAACAAAAAACTTAGTAATTACTCAGTTTTTTCTTTATTTTGTATTTTCATGGTCATCATTCTAATTTCAAACGTAGATAATTGAAAACTCCAGTTACCATCAATGATTTTTCTTGTGTAAAAGCTGTCTGAACAAAATTTGTTTTGCATGTTTTTGAATAGTACTAAACTATCATACCATGCTTTTCTCCACATTGTCTTAGAGAAAATCCTTATCATTCATAGCAGCAGTAAGAATGTTGATTCTATAATCATTGTATTTCGAGGTGTTTAATTTCTGTTAATATTTTTCTGACATGTCTTCAGTCTAATCTAGTTTGAAATATTAAAAAAATAAGGAATTAAGACCAAGGTAGGTATATAAATAAAAATATATAATATATAATCATCTTTGTGACAGCAAGCAAACATGAAAATATACAAAATGTGAAATGGATAATAATTTTTTTTAATGCTGTGTTAAGTCACCATGAGCATTTAAAAATTTAAAATAAATAATAAATGTACCGAGAAATTGTAAAAAAAATTATTAGGAAAAAAGTTAATATAGTTTTTCCATAACACACATCCCTGTGTTAAGCTACCTGGAAAGTATTAATTTCCTTTTTATTATAGTCATGGTTTGAATTGTTAGAAAATCTTGACTCAAAACATAGGAAGTGCTTTGTATCCAAAATGATTAGCATGCAAATCAACACAAAGTTTCTGTGAATCAAAACCAAGTTTCAAATAATTATTTCATTACTGCTAATCAACACAAAGTTTAAAATAGTCATTTCATTGTTGAGGCTATTTATGTAGCTTCAACAGTACACACCAAAAGTAATAACATGAACAACATGGCACTGTTAAAACTTTGATATTGTATAGATCTTAATAGAATCTCTCTGAGAACTGCAACAAAGGTAAAGAAACTTTACTACCAGCCAACTTCAAAAACGTTCAACTTGAATTTTAGAGCTTATCACTCACCAAAAGAAAACAGAAAGTGCTGTATAGCTCTACTAAAGAAGCCATTAATTTATTACTAAGACAATATCTCTATTTTTACTGAAACAATTGTCCCAAAGCAGGGAATTATTTTAAGTTGGACTAAACATCTCTAGTTTCTGCCTTATAAAATGAGTACTACAAGGTAGCAGGAAATACGGGAGATTTTTAGATATGTTTAAGATCCAATCTTATTTGGATGATGATCATGATGATTTTGAAATAATGAGTGTGAACAAATTGAGAATATAAATTGTAAATAGATTGTGAACAATACTTTTGCCACTTTAAAAAGATTTAAGTTATCCTCAAATTGTTATGATATTTCATTTGCTAATGGTTATACTTTAAGAAATTTAAGTTTAAATTTAATAAATTTGATTATTTTTTTAATTTAATTAATCCATACTTGTACAATTTAAACTTGTGGTTTAGACAGATTTCAATCATTTTCTTAATACAACATTTTAGAAAACTTTAAAGCAATATTTTACAACTGGGTTTCCTTGCTAATGATAACCTATTTTTCATATCAAAACTGAATATCATTATTGTGATACTACCACTAGAAGAAGAAACTATCCTAGGTTTTCAATCCCCTCCTACCAATACCAACAAGTAAGTTTGAGTTTTTGTATCAGCGTTTTCTTTCTTTATATAAGTTATTTTCACCATTCCTAAAGAGCCAATATTGGATCAGTTGAGCATCATGACAAAGATATATTTGGATAAGGTTTACGAAAAAAAAAATGTGCAGCTGCTAAAGACTCCTAAAAAATGCTAGATAATATTTATGTTGTACATATAATTATTATCTAGCATTTTTTTGCACAGCAATAAATATATTCAAATAAACTCAAAATAAAGATAGCTTCACTATCAAATTATGCTAGTTCTATCAAGTTACCTCAAAAAAATAAACTTAGGTTAACTGTGAAAGATAATTTTTATTTAGGTAAATTTTATGACTAGAAATATAAACCACCAGACATACTCTATAAACTTATGTAAAAAGTATGTATGATATAATTAGATAATTAAAGATTGAACAACCTTTTAAAATAGTTATTTAAATATTTCTAAACATTATAAATTATAAATATTTGTGAATACCAACTAAAAAAGTATGAAATACCCGAGAGGCATTAAATTTATCGCAATCATCGTCAGCTTGAACATTGTGGTCATGGGCATCATTATTTTCCTGGGATTTTATTGATCCTTTATCAAATTCAACCATTATATCAAGTGTTTTAAAAAAACCAAAGTTATATCTAAAATTTTTGAAGAACTAACAAAATTAATACACTAATCTTTTTAAAATTATTTGTACAAAATATATTTCAATATACATACCTTTTTTTTTACTTATACAAACACATTGACATATTATTTCATCATAAAAATTAGTTTTAGATTACAAAAATACTTTCAATTTTTTCCTAACTTATTTAATGTAAATACCTTATATTTTAATATAAATACTTTAGATATACTTTAATATTTTAAAATTATTCAGTGATTTTTTTTTTCAATTCAAAATAAATTTTTCCTTCTTAAGTCTATTTTATTTTAGCTTATTAATTTTGAATTTATACAATGCAAAGAACTTATATTGAGTATCTTTAAGTTATTTTTATATACTATTATCTTTAAGTTCTTTAAAAATATTTTTATGAGTCAAATATTTTTTGTACATACCAATTTTAATTGTAATAAGTTTCATTTACAACAAAATAACACTCTAATTTAGAATAAATCGACATATTTTGTTGCAAACATGTTTTTTAAATAAATTTAGCGTATATTATTTATAAATTAAAAACTAGAGATGTAAATAAACAAAATGAATTTAGAAAAGAAAGCTAAATGCTAAAAAAAAAAGAAAATAATAATAAAGATTTTAATATTTGACCTTGTTCTGATTTGTTTATTTAGGACTCGTTAAGTCAGGTTTTTAAAATACAATAGATTATTGTTGATAGGGGTATAAGAGCAAAATAACTCAAATCAAATAAATTAAAAGTGAAAATGAAATGAAACTGTCGTATGCGGTAAGGTTTAAATTTGTTTTTTATTATACTGTCGTTTTATCTAATGATATATATATATATATATATATATATATATATATATATATATATATATATATATATATATATATATATATATATATATATATATATATTAGTGTTTTTAAGTGTATTTTTAACTATTTTTAAGTGTTTACGCATCATTAGTAATTATACTATTTGTAAACATCCTTGAATTGTAAAATCAAGTAATTCAGAATATATTGATTGATTGATTATCATTTCGGGTACTATTTTAACATTAGGGTGTGGATTTATTAGAGATCTTTCCATCGTGCTTTTAGAGAAGAGAAAGAAACGATGATTTCTTAAAAGTCAATACTTCTCAAAATTTTTGACTTGATGTTTAAAAGAGTTTTTTTTGGAAAAAGTATTTTTTTTCCTAAGAAATTTATTTTTTACCATGAACCCAGTGGGCATTTCGACGTCGAACGAACGTCGAGCGACGTCGTATCTCGACGTCGGATCGACGTTAGGTTTACGTTGGAAATGGAAATGTTATTTAACTTCGGATAAACTGACATCGCGCGACGTCGGCATTCCGATGTAAATCCAACGTGTTTTTGAAAACTAAAAAACGTTAGGCAGGAATCGAACCTCGGTCTAATAAAAACTTAATCCTTCGCGCTTACCACTACACCACAGGGGCATTATTAATTTGTAAGTTTATTTAGTAATTTATACTTGTAGCTATTTGGGAATTATTACTTTGATAAGAAATAATTTAGTTTAAATATTATATAAATATTAAAACGAATAGTTATATATTATAAAAAATGTATACTCGAAAATGTTAATAGTTAAAAAACTATGCTAGTGCATCATACAAAACCTCATGATGTTTTATCAACCATTATTCAAACTTCTTTCCATTAATAAAAAACACGCTTAGTTCACATATTTATTGAAGAGCGTAATTGCACACATATTGTTGGGTTTGGATTAAATTTTCATCAGCGATGTCTTACGACGTTGTTCTGACGTCGTTTTAAGGACGTTGGATTGACGTCGGAAGACGTCAAAAGACATCGGAGTACGTTAATATTATGACGTTGCCCGACGTCTTTTTATCGACGTTGGATCGATGTCAGTACTGCGACGTTTTTTGGACGTCTTTTATAAGATATCGGAACAACGTCAAAATACATCGAAACGACGTCAGGGGATGTTGAGATAAAGACATTGCCCGACGTCATTTTACTGACATCGGAACAACGTCGGAATAGGTCTTTTGACATCGCTGATGAAAATCGTACGTAAATCCGACGTCGGATTGACGTCGGGTGCCCACTGGGAAAAGGTGCTTTTTTGCTATCCCTGGGTGTTAATTATCCTCGCTAGGCCATTGATATGCGCCAATCTGCCCTAGCCCATTGTTAACATCAAAAATAATTTTATTCATTTTAAATGACAAAAGGAAATTTTTCTACTACAACTTACAATCAAAGTTATATAAATACGTAGCGCAATACAAACATTTGGAAGACCACATTGCAAGTTATAACGATAGAATTAGATGGATGTTGCAATATTTTGGTATTTTGTACCATATTTTAGCATATGTACCATAATTAGCATATTTTTATTAATAAAAAAAGAAGAAATTCGCTGTTAATTAATTAGTAAATAGAAATAATCTAAAAATACTTAACACATAATCTATTAAATGGCAAGTAAAAAAGAAATTGAAATTATAACGGAGGAAAAGTTCAAAGCGCAAGAAAGTTCGCTTTTAAAAATAGTATCAGGAATGCTTCAATACAAATCGACAAAATGGATAAAATTTTACATTCGATAGAAAATATAACAAATCGTATTTCAAAAGTTGAAAAGCAACAAAGCTTGCAGAAATGTATTGACAATCTACAAAAAAGTATCGAGTTTACTCAAGATACCTTAATTAATGAAAAACTCGTACACGTCGAAAAAGAACTTAAAAAGTTAATGAATACGGAAATTACTAAAGTTGTAAACCAGACCGTACTGCTAACAACAACGCAGAACGAAGCAAGCAATTTAAATGATGCGCAACAAGAAAAAATTAGAAAACTAGAAGATAGGAATAGAAGAAACAATATTAGAATTGATGGTGTACGAGAAAATGAAAAAGAAACATAGGATCAAACTGAAAAAACAGTTCAACAAATATTTAATGATCAGTTAAAAATAAGTAACATTATTATTGAACGAGCGCACCGTATCGAAAGACGCTTTAACGCAGAGAAAATAAAGAATAAACCCAGAACATACTCAAATTGTTAAATTATAAAGACAAAGAAAAAATTTTGGAAAACGAAAAGATGCTGAAAGGTACAGGTATTTTTATTAATGAAAATTTTTCATTTGAAACTAACAAAATAAGACGCGAATTAAGTGAAAAGATGAAGATTAAGCGTAACGCTGGAAAATATGCTATTATTGAGTACGATAAGTTAATAGTGAGAGAGTTTAATCTAAAAATAAATAATTTTATTTTTTATTTATGTTTCAAAATTTTGTATAAAACCATGTATAAAAATGGAGCAAAACTCTTTAATTCAATTTTCTAATGAAAATCTTAATGATAATGACACTGAAACAGACTGTTTTGACAAATTGAATTTTGAAAGCAAATACTACTCAGTTTACCAATCTGCACAATATCTTAAAAATAATAAAAACGCATTTTCAATCTTAAATATTAACATCCAAAGTCTAAATAAAAACTTTGAAAATTTAAAAATTTTATTGGACGAAATAAAACATGATTTTAGCATTATTTGTCTAACAGAAACGTGGTGTAAATGCAATAAACAAAGTACACAGTTTGATTTAATTAATTACACGTAAATTCATCAACCACGTGATAGTTATGGTGGCGGAGGCGTTAGTATTTTTGTCCACAATTCAATTGATTTTTTCCCTCGTAATGACCTATGCGTTAATGAAACAGATTGTGAGTCTTTGTGCATTGAACTTTATAATAAAACCACAAAAAATATAATTGTTAATGCTATTTATAGAAAGCCATCTGGTAACTTAACAAAATTTAAGACTCGCTTAAACACATTTTTAACTAAAGTCAATAAAGAACGGAAGCATATTCACGTTGTCGGCGATATCAATTTGAACTTGTTAAAACAAGCTTCAAACAAAATTAAGCATTTTATCGATAAACCTCTTCAACATAATGTTATTCCAACAATAAATAAACCAACCAGAATAACTAAGAAATCTTCTAATTTACTTGATAACATAATCACTAACAATTTTTATAACAACTATATTTCCACAAGTATAATCAAAACAGACTAATCAGATCATTTTCCTACTTTTTTAATAACTAATAATATAACAATTAATAATATTTCTTCTAAATTTATAATATACAGGCGGCAGATCAATAAATACTCCTTACAAAAATTTCAACACCTTTTAAAATATAACGTTGATTGGGATCTTATAATGCAATCGGTAGAGGTAAATAATGCCTATGAACTATTTCTTAAATTTTTTTGTGAGCAATATGAAAAAGCTTTTCCGGAGAAAAAAATTGTTATAAATACCAAGTCATATCAAGCTCCATGGATGTCTAAAGGCTTATTAAAATCTTCAAAGAAAAAAAAAACGTATGAAAAATTCATAAAAAAAAAAAACGTATAAAAATAAACAAACTACAAACTTTATAAAAATATATTTGAAAATTAAACAACAATCAAAAAAATTTTACTATTCAAAGTTGTTAAAAAAAACTAACGGAAATGCCAAAAGTACGTGGAGCGTAAATAAAGAAATTATTGGCAGAAAAAATAATGGAATAAATATTCCACCAAAGAAACTCTTAGTAGATGGTAAAATAATATATGACAAGTCAATAGTAGCTGAAAATCTAAACAGCTTCTTTCTTAATATTGGTCCAAACTTAGCTGAAAAAATTCCTTCAAGTCCATCATCATTTGATTCTTATTTAAAAACATATGATAAGGTCATGGACGAATCTAAACTAGATATTACTGAGTTACGATATGCTCTAAATAATCTTAAAAACAACACAAGTGTAGGTTTTGATAATATTAGCATAGATGTTGTTAAATCAGTTTTTCATATTATAGAAACCCCTTTATATCACATTTTTAATCTTTCTCTTCAATTTTAAAAATTGCACGGGCAAGACCCGTGCAATTTTTAATTTTTCTGGAACTGTTCCAGTTCCAGAAAAATTAAAAATTGATGACACAGATTCACAGAAAAATTAAAAATCGATGACACAGATTCTTCAAATTATAAACCAATATCAGTTTTACCATGCTTTTCTACGTTACTCGAGCGTATAATGTATAATAGGCTAAACAGCTACTTAACAGTAAATAACATGCTGTACTACAAGCAATTTGGCTGTAAAAAAAATTCATTTAACTGATCACGCTTTGACCGAGTTAGTAACTCATGTAACCAATGCCTTTAATGATGACCGTTTTACATTAGGAGTATTTATTGATCTGTCTAAAGCCTTTGACACAGTCAACCATGTCATTCTTTTAAAAAAACTTGAACATTTTGGAATAAAAAACAATAATTTACTATGGTTTAAAGATTACTTATCAAACAGACAGCAATACATTCAATATGAAAATGTTAAAACGACAAAAAGTATAATAGAACGTGGAGTTCCTCAAGGCTCAATCTTAGGACTGGTACTGTTTTCTCTTTATATAAATGATCTCTCTTACCTCGAACATACTAAACTTTATTTTGTTTGCGGATGACTCCAATCTGTTTTATTCTCATAGGGATATTAAATTACTCTTTAAAGTAGTTAATGAAGAAGTAAACAAAGTAAATGAATGGTTTATTTGTAATAAA